CCCTTGTCCAAATCTTTGCGCCAGAAAGTGGATGCTGGCATGGACTGGGCTTCAAAAACCACTACCTCCCTACTCAATGTGTTGCAGGTCATGGTAGGTTGTTTACTCGTCTTAAAAAAGTGCCCGTGCAAAGCGTGGGACATGGCACGAAAGAGTAATTGGACCAACTGGGACTCAATCACTCCATGTCCAGGGACGGCAACCAACTCATTCATGACACCCTTGAGTGCCCTGGCACTCCTCCACTGGCGGGAGTGGATAGTTTGCAGCTTCTCAAAGGCCCTAAGCCCCCGAGTGACATCTGCAAATCGCTCGCGAAGTAATTTAAGAAATTCGCTCAGTGGTGTAATCATAGAATAAGCCACCATGTCATTTTCACATTTGGCAGCGCGGGCGAGCGATTGAGCAAAGCTAGATGCTTCGTCTCTGAGAGCATGGAAAGCGACGAGGACTTGCTCCTCTTGGATAATGTCCTAGAGGTGCACGTAGGAGTTAATATTTGCCTCCCAATTATCGAAATCTTCACCCTGCTTCCCACTGTAGGGATCAAGGAATTTCACTTTTACTCGTTCTCTACGTGGTCGGGCTTCCTCCTCCTTTGGGGCAGCAAGCTTTGCGCCTTCTATAGCACCTATGCAAAATCGCTCTGTATTCTCTAACCTTGCCGTCATCTACGTACCCACATGCATCATCATATCATGTGCAAACTCTCTTAAGCCCAAGTGTATGGACTGCAAGGCGATATCATAGCCCCACATGGACTGGAATTAACGACCATTTCGTCAAAATAGACATTTTTTATTTTTTGAACGAAAAATTAAAACCAAGTTTTTTGGCCAAAAACTCGTCAAAATTTGCTGTTCCTGAGGGTCCGACGTTTTTAAAACGCTGGACCTACTGGCTGTACATGGACCTCGCATGAGACCAGGTCCTGCCTGGATGTACCTGGTCTCAAGCTAGGTCCATGTACAGAAAAACGCTGGACCCTCAGGAACACCAAATTTTGACGAGTTTTCGACCAAAAAACTCGGTTTCAATTTCGGTCAAAAAATAAAAGATGTCTATTTTGACAAAATGGCAGTTAATGGTTCTTGTTGAGCCTTTGCCGTGACTTCTATGTTCCGAGCCAGGCCTTCTATCTTTCCCTGAAGATCTGCCTGACCTTTCATCTGTCTTTGTTACTCATCCACCACCCTAAGTTCAGCCCCGCCGCCTCCAATCGCCTCCTTTTCTCTCTCAAGAGGCGCATTTCCACTCCAGCCGTTTCTCTTTGTCCATCGTTTGACGGCTTATGGGATCTTCCTCCCCCTGCAACTCCCTCATCGTCGCCTCTTTGTTCCGCCCTGGGGACATGCAACATCACTTCTTCTTCCTCTCCCAGGGACAGATTAGCAAACCATTCTGACACCACCTTCTGAGGTTTTCTCTCTTCTTCCTTCGTGCCACTAGATTCCCCTATTTCTCTCCTTCTCACATTCCTTTCCAGGGAGTTTTCCTCTTCTTCTTCTTCTACTGCCTTCAGCTTCTCTTCCTCTTCTTTCTTCAACTTTTCCATCTCCTCCTCCAACTTCTCTTTCGCCACCGCCTCCTCCAATAAGGCCAACTTCTTGGCCTGCTTAATCAGCTCCTTCACCTCTTTCTTTTCTTTCTTTCAACAGGGCGGCAGCCTGCTCTTCTTGAGCCTTACTATACGGGGTGGTGCTTGTACCGCTTCAAAGGGTCACCATGGTGAAAAGTGCACAACCAAATGACCGTTTCCTCACCACTTAAGACTTCCACCCACTGATTGACTGACTAACTGACTAATTGACTGACTAACTGACTGACTGACTAACTAACAAACTCTCTAAGGACCAAAGAGTCCTCCCCTTTGTTCCAACCAGGTTACCGCAACCGACGAAAGCTTTTGCCACCACTGTCCGTTACAATCCTCGACCCAGATGGCTTTCACTCCAGTTCTGAACCCTGTCAACTAGGGTCTCTAACCTAGACCTATGGCTATGGCTGTCACTACAGGACTTCACTACTGATCAGGAGGCATTTAAGGAGATCCCCCTGTATCCTCAGGAATTCTTTAACGTCACAAACAGGATGACATGATCAGAAAGTCCTCTCACGACTTAGACAGCTGGTTGTACGGCCCACAACTCAGATTTGGGGCCAACAATGCCACACTGAGCAGTCCGTCGGTCTGTACCGGTCCTTGGGAGGGTTAGTCCTCCGGGATGTGTCAGTCGTCAGACATGGACAGCAGCCCTACTCAACCCGTGTGGGTTTGGTCAACGCAGCTCTATGACCACATACACGGAGTTCCTATCACCTGGACAAAAGAGACTCAATGCAGAAAGTAGAGACAGACAGACTTAGCAAGTACCATGGGATGAGTGCACATCCATACGGGCAGGGGATAGGTCGAAGGCGTGGTGAGATTATACCAACTCCAACTTGGTCAGATCTCGGTCAACGGCCTTGGTCAACGTCGGTCAATGTCTCGGTCAACGCCTTGATTAACACTCTGGTCAAATTCTTCAAGTTCGGCTATGGCTGCCGACCCCTTCGCCTTCACCAACCTTCACCTTCCTCCTTCTCTCTCCCCTCCTTTTTCTTTTCTACTTCACCCCCAGCTATGGCTTCTCTCTCCTCCCTCGTCTCTCATTCCCCCTTCACTTTCTTTCTTCCTCCTCCGTCTTTCTTCTCACTTCTGGTCCCTTCATCTCTCTCTCCGTGTCTGAGCTCAACAGCTACGGCCGCCAGTTTCCTCCTTGAACCGCAACAACCAATCTTGTATTGCTCCTCTCTCTCTCTCTCTCTCTCTCTCTCTCTCTCTCTCCCCCTTCTTCGTCGTTGTCTGTGCAGATGCGCGACATCCCCCTGCAGCAGCACAGCTATGGCAGCTCCTTCTTCTTCTATGACGGACGCTGCCGTGGCGGCCAACTGGCACCTCCCCTCCTTGCACTATCGACGACGACGATGGCGGGGTGGAACAGCGGGAACCAGCTCTGATACACATGCAATCAGACTCGTCTTCTTCCTTAGCACGCATGAAAACAAATAGCAATCACACTGGCGCCAGGCGCCCACGCAGAGCTCAGAGATATCAAGGCCAAGAACACAGCTCAGGTTCAAACTTGCTTCGGATGGCTATGGCGCCTGTGCACCCTGACAACAACCTCCCGACACTTATTCCAGCAACTGTTCCCGCGCACACTACTCTGGATCTCCCTGGATGTCCCACACACGCACACACTTCACAGAACGCTCGCACACATACACGCTATAGCCTATCTCTAACCCACAGCAGCTATGGCTGCCTTCTACCTCCCCTGCTAACTAGCGGCTATGGCCGCTCCGTCTTCCTCACTGCCCTCTTCTTAATCGGGCACCTGCAGACCTCCTTTGCACAAGTCGCTCAGGCAGCACTTCCGCACGGCTCACTGGTTGAATGAATGAATGACTGGATGCTGCCTCTTGATTTATACTTCGGTTGGTCGCTGGTCTGCTCCTTTCCACCGGGCCCAGGGTGCACACAGTCCCACATGGTACTTGCTGACTGGACAAAGTGCGACCGGGACTGGGTACCGCTGACTAGGTGAGGTTGGACTGCCCACTTGCCCACTTGCCTCTAGCCTCACTTCGACAATTCTTGAAAAGCCACCTCTGGACCTTCCGGAAGTCTGTAGACTTGGCCTTTCGGGACTGTAGCAGCTACGACCTTGACCTTTCAGGACTGTAGCAGTTACGACTTCTACACAACTACGACCCCTACTCGACAGAACTACGGATCGAGACCCGACGACCACACTAACCTACAACAGGCAACAAGCGACTATTAAGACACAGGTCACGGGTTCAAACACACAGGGTTGACTTGGTACTGTACACGGGTGAGGGCAAGGTCTAGGGATCGAGCCCTGGGATCTGAGTCTGCTACTGCAAACGTGAAAACCGTTTCAATTGTAGAAATGCAGTCTTAAGGAGGGGAGCTGTCATCTCCTGGTATCTTTGAAAAGGAGCCCTGAAGCAGCCACATTCACCCACACAGCGCAGAAAGCAGTAGCCTTCTTCCTATCTTTGAAAAGGACATATCGTTTCTCTCCTCTCCCCTCCCCCTTCCCCTTTCTCCTCCTCCTTCCCCTCCCCCCTTCCTCCTCCTGCTCCTCCCCCCTTCCTCCTCCCCCTCTCTCATCTCCACACCTCACAATCTCCTCCCCTATCCTCCCCTTGTCCTCCTCCTCCCCCTCTCCTCCCCTCTTCCTCCACACCCCCCTTCCTCCCCGCCCTTCCTTTGCACACCTCACACTCTTCCTCTTTCATGTCACCCCTCCTTCCCCTCCTTCCTACCCTCCTTCCTCTCCTCCTACCCATCTTCTCACCCTCTCCTCTTTTTGTCTTCATTCCCATTCTTCGAATTTGGTCAGTCCCTGCTGTAAACCCTGCATCTCTCCCTCTTCCTTCTCTTCCCATCATTCTATCCTAACACACAAAAAGTCCAAGATGAAATCACTGGGAATCGAACCTGTGACCTGCCACCAAATTGCTGTCATTCCGCTGCTTGCCGCTCCTAACCTAATGCTCTCACCACCAGCTCGTTCTAACACACCTGAAGTCCAAGATCAAATCACTAGGAATCGAACCTGTGACCTGCCACCAAAGAGGAGGGTGGCTCTCACGTAACCAATTGTTGGTTGGTGAAGTGAGCCCGCTGGGTTGTGGGCACCACCTTCCACTCCATCCGGCCCCACCCGCCCCCGCCCCACTGCAAGCATGAATACTATTGATCCATGTGAGAGGGAGGAGGGAGGGGAAGAGAGAGGGGGAGAGGGGGGTTGGGGGGGGAGGGGAGGAGGAGGAAGGAAAAGAAGAAAAAGAAGCAGTAGCAAAACATGTCCTCATCGCACATCATCGACCACACCCCCTTCCACCCACAAACATGGAAAAAAAGCAAAAGAAAAAGAAGGAAAAAAGAAGAAATGCCACCCCCATTCCCAACTCCCACCCACCTTTTCTCCAACTGCCTCCTGCACAAGGATAATGTCTCCCGACATTCTTTCGATAATCTCGCCGGTCGACGTGCCAACGTCAAAATACCCAACATCTTGGCGCAGGATGGCTTGTAGATATTTCTTCCGAATCCGAGCTGATTGCCGCTCTCCCGTAAACATCCAGCAATAATACTCTGCCATGCCACATTTTACACAACAAGGTGGTAAATTGGGAATTAGTAACCGAATTACTAATTAGTAATTAGATTTTAAATTTTACTACTTTATAGGCATGAATAGTGACACCACGCGGGGCTAGATACTTTAAGACATGATGACATGACATGTCATGTCCCGGCCCGTCATAAGAAGACGGCAATCTTATGTGCCTTTTTTTTTTTTTTTTTTTTTAACCACTGCCTTTTCCCATGCGGACTGCTGCCAGGCCCATATCTTTAAGACGCCTATGTGACATGAAAATTGAGCCATGGGCAAAAGGTAGTGGTGGTTAAAAAATAAAAATAAAACAGTCACATAAGAGGTCCTGTCTTATGTGACATGACATTTGTGTGACTTTTGTGCAACTTTTATAACTTTTGTGTGACTTTTATGTGACACTACTCATCACTTTCGTGTGACTTTTGTGTGTTTCTGCTTAGAAACCAGCTAAAAATGCTTGACAACATGATCTCGTAGGCATCTGAATACCTACACACACACACAAAAAAAAAACACACGCACACACACACACACACACACACGCACAACCTCGCATCTTTGTAGTATGTTGCCTATCTATACCTTTTTTTGTTTCATGGATGATTTGTGATGCTTCGTGGATGGAATGAGAGAGAGAGAGAGAGTTTGGGTGTTTCTGAAACACACACACACACATAACAAACACACACACACACACACACACACACGCAAACAAACAACACACACACAAACACACACGCACACACACACACACACACACACACACACACACACACACACACGCACTTGGTCAAATCGTCCTGATAAGTCTGTGGTAGGCAGACGAAACAGTCTATGACTGTCTTGCTGCAGCTTTCTCGTTCTTTTTTTTTGGAGTTATCTATACCTAAACTGGCAACACATACACACACGGACCTGCTGCAGTTGACAACGTAACTGGTTCAGCAAAGAAGTTCGACGACCACGACAGAGCTTCTTCCACCGCAGCAGGAGTTGCGCTTCCACAGCAGAAGTAGCATTCCTGTAGCAGAATTAGTTCTGCAGGGGCAATAGCTACTTCTGCTGCAGCACAAGTTCCTGGCACTCAGTCGACAATGTTCCTACTCACCACTGCCTTTCCGCCCCCCACACACCACCTCTCGAATTGGTACACATGCAATGAACCCACTCGATTCAAGCTCAGAATTCCAATCGCAAACACTGAAAATTCACGGAAGATTCACGCCAGGTCATTAGATGGATTTGCGACTTCCAGAAAGATGGAAAGATTCAAAATCAATTATTATTATTATTATTATTATTATTATTATATACAAAAAAAGAATTCACTCTCTCTCTCTCTCTCTCTCTCTCTCTCTCTCTCTCCCCGAATCCTCAAGTGCAACAACAGGACAATCTCACTACTCTCTCTCTCGCTCCCCGTCTCTCCCTTATTCCCTGAATACACCTGCCTTCCTCTATCCTCCGCCTACAGCAGCTATGGCCACCTTCTTCTATCCTTCAACTACAAGCCCTAGCTATGGCGTGACCCCTCTCTCCTCCTCCGTCAATGCCGGTCTCATCCAAGCCGCTTACGGCCGCAAAGCATTCAGCAGCATTTCCACAGTGTCCCTAATTCACAAGAGCGACTTCGGGAGGACCGAAGAGCACTGTAGCAGCTACAAATAGGAACTTGATTTTTGGTTGTTTGCCTGCTTCGCACAGGTGGTGGTCCGCACGGCTTGTCAGCTGCAATTGTCTGCTTCCAGAAGTCTCCGGACTTTCCTGGGATGCTGCAGGAAATTTGTACTTTGGACCCAGGGGATATGGTACTTTGGGACTTCAGGAGATTTCTTGAACCGAGACTCGTGACACTGAAACAGAGTGAAATCCTTTCGCACACATGTACGCTCGTACATGGCGTGATGTCTACCCAACTGCGATGCTTCGGCTACGGGACCTGCTGGACTCCTTGTACCCTGGGACTGGGACCATATGGGACTCAGCAACCGGGACTCGGGACACTGAGACAGCGTGAAATCCTTTCGCACACATGTATGCACGCATACATGGTGCATACACGAATACACGAGGACATGTACGCACACGCATACATGGTGCGAACATGAATACACGTACAGTGACGTACTCATGTACGCCATGCCCGCGCACATGCTGCACACACAAATCCACGTACTCCTCTCCCCTCCTCCTCCTCCCCCTCCCCCCTCCGCCAAACAAAGTTGCTGAGCAATGTGGGTATCCCCGGGTGTTCCTTCCCGACCGGTCTAGGAGTGTTTTTTGTTGTTCCTTTCCAATGACAATGAAAATGGAGAGGTAACGGCCCAGATGTGGTGGTCCCATGCTCCTGCTCGGAAAAGGAGTGTCAATTCTTAAAAAAGGAACTCACCCAAAATTGTCCCCCGGGACATCTGTTAAAATTGGAACGATACAGAGAAGGAAGATTAGCATGGCACGTGTGCAAGGATGACACATAAATCAAGAAATGGTCCAATTTAAAAATTGGAAAAAAAAAGAAAGAAAGAACAAGAACAAGAAGAAAAGAACTCACCCAAAAAGTTGGTGACTAATGCAAAGATCGAAAGGTACACCAGCTTGAGGGCAACCTGCAAGACGGAAACGAAAATCATTCAAAAATGTCATTCAAAAATGTCATTCAATAAAGTTGAATAAAATTTAAGAAAATCCAGAAAGACGGGAAAGTAAATTCTTCTTTTTTAATCAAACAAAAATAGGGATAATTTGCAAAATACACCCATAAGCCATAAGTTCAGATATAAAACGCCAAAATGCCACTAAAAGATGTGGGTAGAACGGAATGCCCCTCTGACAACAAAAAAAAAAAAAAAAACTTTTGTGAATACCCCTCGTGTCGGTTGGACCCCCCATCTTTGCAATATACCCCTACCGGGTACCGTCGAAAATGCTTCTGTCCGAAAGGGGTTTCCGCTCTACCCACATCTTGCAGGGGCATTTTGGCATTTATCTCAATTCATAGGGGTCTTTTGTAAATTATCCAAAAAAATAGTAATGAACCCAACCACATGAGAAGCCAGTCAATGTCGTGATACAGGTCTGAACCCAGCCAATGAAATAGTATCTCCAACTTCAATTAAATGTCCATTGTTCAGTACGCGTGCACTTCTCAATGTCATCGAACTCGAGAGAAGAGAAGAGAAGAGAAGAGAAGGAGAAAGTGGGGAGAATATCGTCGGAGTCAAAAGCAGCAGATAGAATGGAAAAAGTAAAACATAGTAGAGTAGGACAACAGGATTGGAAAGCCCTTTGGAAGGCTCTGATGTGGCTGCCCTCTCAGAAGGATGCAAGTTTACTCTGGCTTCAGTCCTTTTTGGCAGTGGCCACATCTCTGTGGCTGAGTCAAAAAAGGGATGGAAATTTGGGAAACTTGCGTCGGATGTGATTGGGGCTGGGAAAGCAATGCCCACATACGGTTATTCTGTCCTCTATCTGACGAGCTATGGAGCTGGTGGATAGATATATGGAATATGGTCACTGACTCTGCTTGGTCCTGGACTGATGATTGGATACTTTACGGATCTTTGCCAGCACAAGAAGGGAGCTACTGCAGAGGATGGGACTACGTAGCACTGGTCTGCAGAGGGATCATTCTCCAGGAGATTTGGAGATCAAGAAATTCGCTAATTTTCAAGAACAGACCGATTGGACTTCATGAGCAGCAACAACAGATTAAGGGGAACATCCGCCGAACGATTTTCGCAGATTGGCAGGGTTGGCCCAGAAGCAAGTAAAAAGGAAGAATTTAGTTTCTGCAAACTTGGACCAAGAGCAGCAATTTAGTCTCAATAACACCTGATCAGAGGTTAGCCTTCACCCAATGGCTGAAACCGCCGTGAGGTTTCGGGCCCAGGTAGGGCCAGGCGTAAGAGGCCAAAATGTGTGTGATTGGGATATCTTGTTGTTTTAAAGGTTGAAAACAATGGAGTCATGATAGACTCAGTGTGGTCAGGCTTAGGCAGGCAGTGCGAGATAGAGAAAGCGATGTTATTCCTGCTCTAGCCCCTAGGTATGTAGGACTTCTCACTGGGAGGCGTATTGGACGCGTTTTGAGTCAAGTGTTTCAATTATAGTACCTTACCTGGCTAGAAGTTCTACAATGTCTGCTAAGGCAGCCCTTATTTCTGTGCTTCAAGGTTTAACTTTTTTGGAAAAGCATTTTGCTTGCAAGGGACGCTGGACCCGGTTTCCAGCAGTAGTGTTGATGTATCAGACACAGTTGGTGGAACTGCGAGCTTGGCTTGAAAGCGAAACTGGATGATGCTGCCAGGACAACTCCGGGTTGATTTGTGAGGTCCCCGGCCTCGTCCCAATGCTTTTATGAAATGAAATTGGAAGCTTTTCAAAAAAAAAAAAAAAAAAAAAAAAAAAAAAAGTGAGGAGAATTGACAGGGAAAAAGAGGAGAAGAAATCAGAATGCACGTAATCTCTTCAGCCCACTTCCTCTTCGGGCATCCCCAACTATCGCCACTTCAGCAATGCAGCCTCTCTCTGACATCCTCTGACATACACCATGCGCAGATTACAGCAGGGTGCCCAACCTCCACCCAAAATAGTAATCAAACAGGGAGGATGGTGCAGATCTTAATCGCCTTCTTGGAGATGAGCAACCGATCACACATGACGTCGCCAGGTAAGTTCAGGTAAGCTTCGCCTCAACCTCCTACAGTCTCACAGCCCTGATCCTCCTCCTCCTCCTCGCCTAACCTATACACGATGTCTGCAGCTATGGTTGCACTGGCCGCTCAAGCAGAATCTCCTCTGATGCTGGCACCCTCCCAGCAGCACTGGCACCAACATAATCTCCACCAGCCTCACGGTGTAGCACTTGGCTACGAGCAAGCGCAATGCAGAACGATCTCCACAGTGGCGGGCTCGACTCTATATAGTGTCGACTCATGATGACACGCCTCCAGTGTCCTTGGGTCGACGGCCCAGATGATCTGCAAACCAATGGCCTGGATGCAGCGCAGTCACAGCTCTCCCTCGTGTCCCACTGATGTGCCACAGCCGTCGATCAGATGCACATCAGACTATATAGCGTCTTCTGGATACCTGCAGACAGCCACTGATGTGCATCTGAACGCCGGCCATGGCTGAATAGCGGGTTGACTTTGACTTTGGGCCTGGAATTCCCCGTGCTTGGGTCGACTGTTGATTTTCCATCATAAGAGTCAGCTGTCTCACATTGGGGTACTGGACACAACTTTTGACTCAGATCTTGGTACCCCTTGACCCTAGGCACTTTCTCAGACACTTCTCAGGCTAGGGACGTGACTATTGACCCCATTTCTGGCCTTTGACCAAAAGTAACGACCCCTGTGCCCTATTTCTGGCCTTTGACCAAAAGTGACGACCCTTGCGCCCTATTTCTGCCCTTTGACCAAAAGTGACCACCCTTGTGCCGACCTGAACTGGCTTTATTACAAAAAGAAATCAGGCTAGGGACGTGACTATTGACCCCTATTTCTGGCCTTTGACCAAAAGTAACGACCCCTGTGCCCTATTTCTGGCCTTTGACCAAAAGTGATGACCCTTGTGCCCTATTTCTGGCCTTTGACCGAAAGTGACGACCCTTGTGCCGATCTGAACTGGCTTTATTACAAAAAGAAAAAAGAAAATTAAGTTCTTGTCTTCGTCATACACGTCAGTATGAGGAGCTGGTGGGCGGATGGCCACGGTGGGACGTGCTGAAGAGTGCGCTTCACACTTCAGGCAGTCCCCCGGAACACAACACACTCCCACGCAACCCCACCTGACCGGAAAGCTACCTTGTATACATCATCCGAAGTGCAATTTGAAACTCTTTTCTGCCCAAAGTGTATTTTCAAACTATGTTGGGCCGCCGCCCGGCCTGGCACCCCGGCCAGGCATGGCCTGGGCAGTTGGGCAGAGGGGGGGTTGCCCGGCAAAACCAAACTGGTCAAAAGAGAGGCAAGGATCCAAAAAAAAAAAAAACAGCACTTAAGGCGAGGACTGCGCTTGGCCTAAGCAGTCAGAATTTGGTATTAACTCCAGTTTCGGTGATGGGTCATCCAGGGGGGGTTGGGGGTATAAAAAGTGACTACAGGGGTTAAAAGGGTACATTTGGCCTCATGTTTTCTCATTTATTTTTTATCTAATTAACAAGGAATTTCGAGGTGGCCCTCAGCCAAAAGTGGTTTGTATTGCAATTTTACACAACATTTTTCTTTATGTTTTAGTTTAACTTGGGTAAAGAATTTCGATGCGACCCCGAGGCAAAAGTTGTTCTGTTTCTTTTTCTGCATAACATAGTTTGTTTTTCTGAATTTTGGGATTATTATTATTTTTTATTTTTGTTTTTGCTGGGACCTTCCTTGGTCCTTGCACGGCTGGGCCGCCCGGGAAAACAGGGCGGCCCGGCTGGTAGCCTAGCAATCAACTGTATTGTCTCAAAGATTCTCAATTACAATCTTGATTGATGGTTGAGATAAGCATTTTTTTTTATACGTTCTTTAGTTTCGTTCCTTTTAACCACCGCCACCTTTCTCATATATGTGGGGCCGAGGGCCTCAAATTCAAATCCGGCCACCACGCACCGTCGATCAAAAATATCGACGGCGGCGAGGCGGCTATTTTTCAGGAGTAGGGTAGTAGACGCCCGTGGCCGACATACGGAAAAGGTAGCGGTGGTTTTACCCAAAAAAATCAAATTCCAAACTTTAGGAAGGCTAGACTAAAACCACCAGTACCTGCCGCATTCTTAGCCCCTCTCTGACTCTAATGAACATAGCCCCAACCCCGATTCAGCCACCGGGTTAACGTCCAAAGGGCGTGCAGGTACTGGTGGTTAAACTCAACGAAAACAACAACGTCCCTAAGAAAAAGCCTACCTTGTTCTTCTATAAAAATAAAAATAAAAAAAGAGTCAAAGGAGTGGGGCGGTTTTAAAAAACAAACAAAGAACACCCTCACCTTTGGTAGCATGATTTGGCTTCCATCGCATAGGGCTTCGCCACACCAATCTTCAGTCGATTCTTTCTTTAGTTTCTTAAACTTTCTTTCCACCTCGTTTTTCTTTTTTTTTTTCTTTTCCTTTCCTAACTAAGGTACATTCTTTCTTCAGTTCGTATTCTCTATGAGTGTGTACTCACTCTGTGTGTACTCCATATGAGTTGTGTGTACGTCTCTCGTGTGTGACAACAAATCATCCTTATCCTTGGACTTTCAGGGAGGCTTAGCAAAAGGGAGTACTCACCTTTCGAACGATCCAGGATTTCAATTCCTATTCATCTGTCCCACAGAAAAGGGAAGTCATCACATGCTGCCTCCACAGGATATACACAATGACATCACATGTGAGACTCGTAGCGTTGGGAGTACTGAGATTGCAGGATTACCCTAGAAAATACTTCGGCGGATTGCCTGGGAAAATTTATCCGAAAACGAGTGCCGTCATGGAACAAATGGGGAATTAAATATTGCGGTTGGTAGTGAAAACAGACAAACGGAAAAGGAAAAGGGAAAAAGAATATACAATAACCCTTTCCTTCTCTGGATCTGAACGAGATTTGGATAGACTCATACTCTCAGAAAATCAGGACCGAGAAAAAAAAATACGGGCAGTGAGAGGAGAGCTAGGTTACAGCACTCGAATCTTACCCGGCAGGCACAGGGATCGGATTAAAAAAAAAAACAAAAAAAAACGGGAAGAATCTGATAAATTTCATATGGGACAAAATAGAGATAACTGGCG